ATGCCTACTTGTTTATGGTAGGGATGGAAACCATTTGGCCCATGAAGCCCTAAAATATTTACTATCTTCTCTTTCTGTTACCAGCTCACTGACTCATGCTTTATGCTCTTGGAATTCTTTTTGGCAGTGTTGGACATAAAACATAGGGAGTATATTGGGACCAGCAGTTGGCGTAATGACTATGTCGCTAGACTCCCATGTAGTCGACCACAGTTCGAGTCCCGGACCGGTGACTTAAACACAGGCACATTTGCGTGTGCACCCAAGATCCAGGGAGGAGAATGGAGAAGGGATTGTCTCGTGACCAACAGCCCCCCCACCACCACCAGGAAGGTGATTTCTTTTCTGTCTTTCTGGCAAGTGCACATGCCCTATAGCAAAAACCTCTCAAAAAACAGAAGTATATGTTCAATACTAAGAAGTTCCTTGAAGAAAACTAAAGCAGGTAAAGAGGCTAAAATAGTGAAGATGGTATGAAGAACACACAGCTAGGTTATTGGTGAGGATTAGGGAAGCAGGGTATCAGGAAAGGGAACTTTTGTAGATGATATTTGAAAAGAGACCCGAATGAAGATAGGAATGAGTCATTTGATAAAAGAACATTTCTGGAAAAAGAAACAAAAAATGCAGTAGCCCTGAGGCAAGAGTGTAACCATAAATGAGGAGCTAAATAGTAGGAAACTGAGTTAGGGAAGGAGGAGCCAAATTTTGAAGGGCCTTTTGGGGTGGGGGGAATACACACACACACATATATGTATATATAACTATGTATATATAACTTTTTCCCCTCTTTTAAGAGAGATTTTTGCTATAGGGACTGTGTATTCCTTGGAGAGACAGAAAGTTAGAAATCATCCCCTAGGGTGGATGGCCACACTGCAATCCCTTCTCTATTCTTCTCTTGGGATTTTGGGCACGCACACACACGTGTCCAGCAGGAGTTTGAAGCCACTGGGTCTGAGACTCAAACTGCAGTTGGTCATGTAAGAGTCCAGCCATGCACTGGTCCCAAAACTTTATATTTTAAATGAGGCATATCTTTATGTATGTATGTATGTATGTATGTATTTCTAAGAGAGATTTTTGCTATAGGGACTGTGTATTCCTTGGAGAGACAGAAAGTTAGAAATCATCCCCTAGGGTGTGTGGCCACTCTGCAATCCCTTCTCTATTCTCCCCTTGGGATCTTGGGCATGCATGCATATGTGCCCTGCATGAGGTTTTTGTTGTTGTTTAATTTTTATTTTTATTATTATCATGTTTAATTTACTATAGGCATGCGTGCTCACCAGAGAGCAAGGAAAGAAAGAAAGCGAGCGAGCAAGCTACCAGGTCTGAAACCATGGTCATGTGGGAATCCAGCCCTTAATCACCTTGCCATCTGCTGGCCCCACCCAGCATGAGTTTTAAGTCATTGGGTCCCGGGCAAGAATGAGAGTTGACTATGTGGGGGTCGTAGCATTGTAACTGTTACACCATCTGTTGGTCCCGAGGCATATCATTATCATGTCTACTACTACGTCAGTGTACTTTGATAGTATTGTGTCCAAATAGTAATAAATTAACTTCAATTACAAAGACTGTTAAGTGTCCATCTAAATATCAAGGAATCTACCTTTGTAGTAGCTCTCTCAGGAAATAACATGGGATGCCTTGCTATGATCATATGTTTTAGGATCCTATATTAGTAAATAATGATGACTACATTCTTCTTAACCATTCACTTAGTATTTCACTTTGCCATTGCATGTCTTTCCATCTCTCCACTTTCATTTAAAAACCAGAAGGCTTACTACTCCATGGCACAGGGCAAGAGAAGTTGGATTCCATGTGGCAACTGCAGTTTAAATCCCCAGCCTGGCCAACATGAAACATGCAGCGGGGGGATTGCTAAGTAACTGGACCCTGTGGAGTATGCTTATCTCTCCCACTCACTCTTACTCTTTTGTGCACATGCTCTACCATAAGTAAAGAAAATAAATAAATAAGAACTCAGAAATGTTTTGGTTTCTTTAAAGGGAAATTTCTCCTGTTCTTAATATTCTCAAATATGCTAGGATTGCTTAATAAGTTTTTTTAGTACTTGAACCCGAATTCAAATAATAGTATTTGATGTTCCTCTCTCAGTAGCTTTTATACACTTTGAGATTTTGGAGGTAGGTTAGTTTATTTTTCTCTTTCAATATATTCCCCTCATTTAACTAATTAATCTATATTTTCAAGCATAAGGCCCTGTGCAACTATGAAGTGAATAAGGGGAAGCTCCTGGTCAAAGAGTAACTTTGGAAAACTAACTATAACCTTAAAAAGCTTTCCTTGTTATCTTAACCATTTTGACAACCCCGCCTCATTCTGTCCTTTCGCTTCCTTGACCTGATTCTTTTGATTTTGATGTCACTTGAAGACTTTATGTCCTTTTTTATCTCCTAAAAAAATTAGAGTTGGATATATTCCTACCTACCTTGATGGCTGAAGCAGGAGGATTTCAAGTTTAAGACTGGCCTCAACAATATAGTGAGACCCTGCCTCTTAAATAAAAAACAGAAAACAAAACTTTTTGAAGGTGGCGTAGTGGTTAAGGCACTGGATTCCCATATAGCCAACCATGGTTAGAGTCCTGAACCCAGCAGTTTGAAAATCATGCCAGGCATGTGTGTGTATCTCCAAAATCCTGAGGAGAATGGAGAAGGGATTATGGTGTGGCCATGTCCCAGAGTGTGATTTCTCACTTTACCTCCCTCTGATTCTCTCCAGTTAACACACACACCCCGTGGCAAAAACTTAAAAAAAAAAAATTAGGGGATGAGAGATGTTGGCATGATCCTTATTCTTTTTAAGTTTACTGTAGGTGCATGTACTTGATGGAGTCAGACAGACAGACAGAAGGAAAGTGAGAAATCACCCTCTAGGGGGGATGACTCTGCTACAATCCCTTCTCCACTGTCTTGGGATTTTGGGCATGCACACACACATGCCTGGCATGTTTTTCAAGCTACTATATCTGGAACTTGAATTGCTCAGTTAGCCATGTGGGATCCTGCCACCTTAACCTCTGTGCCATGTGCTGGCTTCCCTTTGTATGTTAAATATAAAAAAATTAAATAAATAATTAAATCTAAAAAATTATCTTTAGAGCCACATCTCATTTATTTGACCATGGTTCACATCCTGGTCCTGGCAGCTTGAAAAACATTTTGGGCATGCCCCAAATCTTGAAACAGAAGGAGAAATGGAGGGAAATGGATTACAGTGTAACCACACCCTGTTGGGAAGTGCTTTTTCTCTCTCTTTGGCAAGTGTACAAACCTGGCAATGAAAAATGCATTTATTATACAAGTAATTTACACGGTTGACTATGTGGGAGTCCAGCGACATAACCATTATGCCATCTCCTGGTCCCAGAAAAAAAAGAATATCTTGTGATATTACTACTAGAGACAGTCCCAGTTAAAATTTAATAGCTGTGCATATGTATAAGTATATGTAATGTTAATAAAACCAGGAACTCATAATTTTATAAGCCCATTAGAACAGCATATCATAAACATCTTCCCATGCCAACAAGACTATTTCTCAGACGTTTTTGCTCTCAAGACCCCTACACTCTTAGAAACTGAATTTCTACTTATGTGGCATGTATCAGTGTATTAGATATTAAAATGGAGTTGTTACTGTTATTGTTTAGTTAACTGACAGAAGGTGCTTGCTCTTGCCAGAGAAACGGGGTGGGGATAGGGAGAAAGCAGAAAGCACCCCTCACTGAGGAATGGTCATGACACAGCCCCTTCTCCATCTCTCCATGCTGTTGGGATTTTTGGACACACACATATATGGACCGGGTGTGTTTTTCAAGCCCTTTGGGCTAGAATTCAAATGCTTCATTCACCATGTAGGATCTAGCTACCTTAACCACTAGAGTACTGAACCAGCCCCAAATTTTGAGATTTTTGAAATATTAACTCATTTTAATAATAATCTGGAGCTAGCAGGTAGCGTGGTGGTTAAGGTGCTAGATCTCACATGGCCAACTCCACAGTTCAAGTCCTAGCCCTGGTGGCTTGAAAAACACGTTGGGCGTTTATGTATGTGTGCCCAAAATCCCAAGAAGAGAATGGAGGAGAAGGGATTGCATCATGGCCATCACCTTCCAAAGTGAATTCTTACTTTCCCCCTCTCTCTCTGTCTCTGTCTCTTTGGTGAGTGCATGTATCCTATAGCAAAAATGTAAGTAAATAAATAGCAATAATCTGAATCATCTCCAGGATGCACTGGTTAAACTCTGCAAAGAAAGCTAACTCCCATGTGGCCTACTAGGGTGAGCTCTGGGCCCAGTAAGCTTCGTGTTGGACATACAGATGTGCGCCCGAGATCCTGATAGAATGTAGAACTGAAGGAAAAAGGACTGGGAGGGGGACTGCCGGGTGGCATGGTGGTTAGGGGTGCTAGACTCCCACATGGCAGACCACAGTTCAAGTCCCAGACCTGGCGGCTTGCTTTTTCTGTTTTGTGCTTTTTTATGATATTGAAATGAGTGTATAACTTTCTTCTTCCAGGATGATTTGAGATGACCACATGATTTTGCCCCTTTAATTTGCAAATTACATTAATTTATTAGTTTTGAATTATGGATAGACCATATTTAGTATTGGTGTACTACTTAATTCAGTAACATTTTATTTTGTTTTGCTTAAATATTCATAAGATAGGATCGTAACTGTCTTTAATGCAGTATGTTTTAACTAAAAACTATTTGGTTTTCTAAAGAAAAATTCAAAATTTAGACAGCCTTGTATTCTGAAATCAGAGTATACTTATAAAGATAGTAACAGCTTGCAGTATTTTATGGAAAGGAAATCTGAAGGCTCCTAAACAATAAAGATTTAAATAAGGAATTTTATTTCAAGGAATGTGATACATTTTATAATCTGTTAATTCCTTCTCATTTTGTATATATTAACTTTAATAATTAATCTCTTACTGTAAATGTTACTTCTCTTTAGGTACGCATAGCTGCTAAATTCATCACTCATGCACCCCCAGGGGAATTTAATGAAGTATTCAATGGTGAGTAAAGATTAGTATTATTTTAAGCCCTTCTTAACTATAATTTATTGAATGTTTACTGTTTCTTGTAATCCTTATGATGTGTTATAGCTATAGATAAGGAAACCAAGATTCAAAGAGATTAAAATATCTTGTCCAAGATCATACCTACTAGTAAGTGTCGAAGCAAGGATTCAAACCCAGATCTGAGTCAAAAGCAAACTCTTAACCTATAAATTAGGTTACTTGTCAGGTATGAGTAAAGATTTAGAGAAATTTGGCCTAGCCCCAAGAGAACAGTGATTAAGCACTCTACTTTAGGAGCCAGATCCCACATGGCTGACTGGCTGCATAGAGGACACACCTGGTGTGTATGTGTGTGTGTCCAAAATACTGATGGGATGGGGGAAATGGAGGAAAAAGTATTGCAGTGTAACCATGCCCTTCTGGGCATGAAGGAGTTGTGTACTTTCTCTCTCTTTCTCTCTTTCGCTCTATTTGACATCTGTACACACCATCTGGCAATATAAAAGAAAATTCAAGTAGTTTAACATCAACAAATGTAGAAAATATATTCAATTGGTTTGTTTTATTTGTATTACTATAAATTCCATTGCTTAAATTTCTTCCTTGCTTCTACTCAGAAAGTCCTATAGTAAAAGGATGCTTTTTAGGGGCAGTGGAGCTGAACTGACTGTATCTGGAAACCTTACTAAGTATACAAATTCAATTTCATCACTCCCTCAAGATTTTCATTCATAGATCTGGATGGGATCTATATTTATCAAGTCCTTTACCAGGTTATTCTGAATCACGGCCAGTTTGGAAACCACTATTCCAGTACAATTTTAAGCTTCCAAACTATTTATATTTGCTATCTTGTTAGTGTTTTACTATAGGTATGTGCTCTGTCCAGGGAGAGAGAGGAATCACCCCCAGGGAATGGCCACATTGCAATCCCTTCTCCTCTTGAGATTTTGGGCGCATGCGTGCGCGTACAAACAAACACACACACACAAGCCCAGTGTGTTTCTCAAGCCTTACAGGTCTGGGATTTGGACTATGTTGGTCATGTGGGATCCAGTGCCCTAAACACTATGCTACCTGCTGCCCTTTTATTTGCCATCTTAACACAACTTATAGTTGAAAAATGTAGATGGGCTTGTTGAACTTCATATTAAAAATCAATCACCATTGGGAACCAGCAGTTAGTGTAATGACTATGTCGCTGGACTCCCACACAGTTCGCGTCCTGGACCCAGTGGCTTAAAACTCACGCCGGGCGCGTGTGCATGCGTGCCCAAGATCCCAAGAGGAGAATGGAGGAGAAGGGATTGTGGCGTGACCATCCCCCCTGGGGGGTGATTTCTTGCTTTCTGTCTCTATGTCTCTGTCTGGCGAGCGCATGCGCCCTATAGCAAAAAACCTCTCAAAAAAAAAATCAATCACCATTTAATTTTAGTTTATTTGGTTAATTCAGCTTAAAGGTATCTTAAGTAAAATCATAATCTTTGTGCATATTAGTTCAATTTAGCAAGCATTTTATTTTTATTTTTTTAAGTCTCATAACTCAAAGTTTTACCAATTTTTAAATATGATTTCTGATTTACATAGACTATAAGTCTTAGGGATACAAAATGTTTTTCCAAAACATGAACTTGTATTGATTAAATCAGAGCAAGTAAACATCTATCATCTCAAATGTTGATCATTAGTTTGTGTTATACACATTCAAGACCTACTCTTCCTTTTTTTCTTTACTTTTCTCCTTTTTTTTCTTTCTTTCCTCTTGTTTCTTAATTTGCCATATGGCATGTACACTTACCAGAGAGAAAAAGGAGAGGAAAAAAAGCACCCACCAATGGGGCAGGGTAATTCTGCAATCCCTTCTCCATTTCTTCATCCTGTCAGGATTTGGTGTACATATTCACACACACCTGGTGTGCCTCCAGGTCTGGGATTCAAACTACGTGGATGGCCATGTGGGATTCAGCTCCTTTAATTACCAGGCCACAGAAGTGGCCTGAAGATTCACTCTTCTTTATTTTGATGTATACATGAATAGCACCAACTATCCTTACTTATCTACTGTGCTATAGTACACTAGAATTTTTTTCTCCTTTTTTACCTGTACTCTTACATCTTTTGGTCACTTTGTATCACTCTTTCATTATCCTTCTCTTTCCAGCTTTTGGTATCTACCATTATACTCGCCACTTTGATATACTCAAATCTTTAAGCTTCCACTAATGAACAAGAACATACAGTATTTGTTTTTTAGTGCCTGGTTTCATTTCCCTCTAGTTTTATGTTGCCTCAAATGACTGGATTATCATTTATTTTGAAATTCTAATTTTAAATTAGAAAGTTAACTACCTGAGAGGAACTGTGTAATACTCATCTGTTCCTGACCCAGAGCACCACTGGTAGAACAGTAATCTCTGTTGGTAAATTAATGATGCAGAGGAAAAATAGCTAGAAGAAACATACTTCCTATAAGGAGTATAGAATATAATAGAAATAAACCAAGATATTTTCTATAAAATTGCATATGGATTTTGAGCAGGCTTTCTTTTCCTAGTCTTTCTTCCTCATTGATCAAATGTAGACTTTCAGTAACTGGGTTTTTAGAAAATTCTCTTTAGGGGCGATGGTGGCACAGTGATAAAATGCAAGATTCTGTGAAACTGACCCATGTGGAAAAATTCCATTTTCACTTCCAGAGACCTCCCTAAATAGGCTGGGCATGTGCATGCCCATAATGTGGGGCTGGCTAAAGCTGGGTGTGGATCAAGACCCAGTTGAGGATACTGTCTTTTCCCCTCTCTTGCTCATGGAGGAAATAAGTAGATTTTTGAGGAAAATTCTTAAACTTGGACTTTAGCTTAGATAAATTATTGTTTTTCTTTCTTTAATCATACTAGAGTATATGTACATGCATGTGACAGTGAGAGAAAGGGAGAACAGCATCTTCAGTAGGGTCTGGTGACACTGTAATTTATCATTTCTTTCCTTCAGGCCACTATCTTTTTTTTTTTTAAGAATTATTTCATTTAACATTTATTTATTTTAATTTGACCAGAGAGGGAGAGAGTGAAGTGGAGAAAGAGGGAAGGCTATAAAGCAAGCCTCCAGGTCCATGACTCAAACCGCTGTTGGCCATGTGGGAGTACAATGCAATTAAGCAACATGCCGCCTTTCTGCCCCAAGGCCGCTATCCTGTTTGATCTTGGGCACTCATGTACATTTTAGACGTGTTTCAGGCTGACCAGCTGTGGATTTGAACTACAGTGATTATGTGGGATCCAGCTTCTCTTAGATGTGTATTACCACTGTGTCACAGAGCTGGTCCCCCAGATAAATTCTTGACTTGACAAAATAAATGTTCTTTGTAGTTGTAAGTTCCTTGTTTTATTTCTGACAACTGAATATACTTTACAGAAAAACATTAAGAATAATTGTTACGAAAGCATTAGCTAAGGATTGGCAAACCACTGTTGGCATTAGGGCTGGTTTTTATTGGCCACTTCCAGGTCCTTCGTTTAGAAATTCTGAGTCTATGGCCTTAAGCTTCTCTTTTGGAGTTAATACTTGGTAATTTCTTAGTAACAAAGAATGTACTCTTCCAAAAGAAAAGTGACTAGACTCTGCCACACAGCTGCCTAACAAGGTTATAGACTCCTACACTAGATTCTCTAAAGAAAAGTAACTATGTTCAGGAATTTTACTGCCACTGACTGAATCGTGCCCAACTTACTTGATCTGGATTCATTTAGATGCAAAATTAACAGTCTTCACTAGTTTTCTGTAAACCATATTTTTCATTTACTGTGAAATTCCTGAGAATTTACTGTGGTTAAATTATTTTTGTGTAAATAACTGTATGAAAATCTATGAACATTAGCATCTGTTCATTTGCATTTGTAGGGGTTTTTTTAGTCTTTTGTTTGTTTGTTTGTTTTGTTTTGTTTTTGCCATAAGTCACATGTACTCACTGGAAGAGAGAAAGTGAAAAATCACCCCCCGGGGAGATGGCAACACTGCACTCCCTTCTCTTCCATTCTCACTGGGTTTTACGTATGTTTGCCCAACATCATTCTCAAGATGCTGGCTTCAGGACTCAAACTGTGGTCGGCTATGTGGGAATCTAGCACCTTACCCACCATGCCACCCACTGGCATCAACTGTCTTAGAATTTCTAAATGTAGTGTGTCCAAGGACTAATCTTTGCGAAGCCTGAGTTTTGTTTTTAAGGATTTTTTTTTTTTTTCAGTTTGACCAGAGAGAGAGAGAAAGAGAAGGAAAGTGAAAAAGTAAGCCACCACGTCCGGGACTCAAACTGCAGTAGGCTATGCAGTAGGCTGCCTTTAACCACCACGCCACATGCTGGCCCCCAAAGCCTGAATTTTTTAAACATAATCTAGAGGGCCAGGCAGATGGCATGATGGTTAAGGCAGCTGGATCCCACATGGCTGATTGTGTAGTTCAAGTTCTGGACCTAGTGGCTTGAAAAACATGCTGGGCACGTGTGCCCAAAATTCCAAAATGAGAATGGAGGAGAAGGGACTCTGGCATGGCAATCCTCCTGAGGGGTAATTTCTCACTTTTTTCTGTCTCTCTCCAGCCAGTGCATGCAACCTATCATAAACTTTAATAAACAAATAAATGAATGAATGAATAAGTGGGCTGATAAGTGGCATGGAGGTTAAGGCGCTGGATCCCATGTGGCCAGCTATACTTGAGTTCCAGACCGGACAGCTTGAAAGTCACATTGAGCACAGGTGTGTGGTGCCCAAGAATTCAGAGAGAATAATGGAGAAAGGATTACAAGGTGGCCATCCTCCCTGGAGGTGATTTCTCACTTTCCCTCCCTTTTTTTGTCTCTGTCTCTGGCAAGAACATGTGCGCTATAGCAAAAAAAAAAAAGCTTTAAAAAACTAGAAATCTGCAAAAAAATTGTCAAATTTGACCTCTACTGAATATTTTATTGTGTTTTTCCCCCTCAGATGTCCGGCTACTACTTAATAATGACAATCTTCTCAGGGAAGGGGCAGCACAGTAAGTATCTTCCTACATCCACTTATGTTATATTAATATTGGATAACCTACGTTGCCAATAAACTAGTACCCTGAAAAGTAGATATAAAATATTTTAAAGCAGTTAACTTTAGCAATTTTAGTTGTATTTTTTACTTGGAGAAAAATGTGTTCCCCTAAAATATTGTTTACTTCCTCAAAAATTTACAATATATTAATGTGTTTATTTTGGGGTTATGCATAGATTTTCCTTATGAAAATAGAGTTTAATGTCATAGGTTTTCTTTTATATTTCTTCTAGTTCATGTTGAATTTTTGGAACTGCTAGTTATAGAAAAATTAAGCTGTTATTGAGGAATGATAATGATTCCCAAATTATCAGAGAATAGCAGATATTCATTAAGTGCCTTAACATAAGTAAAAATTAACCATAGGATAAAAGCATGATTATTCTACTTAGTCATTAACTCCTTATCACTGTTAGGCTAATAAATTTTTTTGAAATATCATTTTCATTTTGTATTTGCCCTCAAAAACATTATAACGGTACTTTTTTTTTTTCTTGGTCTTCTAGATTCTATTCTCAATGTCATCTAGTCTTTAAGGACTCCCATTATCTGGCTTTATCACTACTCTCTTATACCATTCAACACAAAGTTCTACTTCAGTTGCTATTTCTCCAGCTAGCCAAATTTCTTTGTAAAGAGAAAACCAGAGTTCAGTAATGACTGGGAATGGCTAGGACAGCACATTTTGATGCAGAGCAACAAATAATTATTATTTGGTGTGATATGTAAGTGGTTTTGATTTATAGCTATAGAAGAGTTTTAAGAGCTGCTGCTCAGGGAAACAGTTGTCTCCTGTCCTGTCCTAGCTACCCTTTTGGACCACATTTTGGGACTAGATCAACAGACAGAATTGTCACAGCATCACTATAATTGTCATCCTGGTTGATATCCTAATATACATTGATTTAAGGAAAGTAGGCATATATTAAAGATATAGTCTAGGGGCCAGAAGGTGAGGTTAATCCCATGTAACTGGCTGCACAGTTTGAGATGTGGTGACATGAAAATCACTCAGGGCACATGTGCGTGTGTGCCCAAAATCCTAAGGAGAATGGAGGAAAAGAGATTGCAACATGGCTATATCCCTGAAGGGTTGATTTCTCACTTTGCCTCTCTCTGTCTCTGGTGAGTGCATGTGCCCTATGGCAAAAATCTAAGGTTTAAAAAAAAAAAAAAAGATAGGTTCTAATGCTGGCTTCTCATATACATAGAATCTGACATAGAAAAGGACATTCATGATTTTCTAATTCAACTCCCCTCTTCTCTCTGCTATTTCATTGAAAGAATCTCATCTATATCTGTCAACAGATGATTATCCAATCTGAATGTTTCTAGTAATAAGGAATAAGCTATCTCACAAGGCAGGATTTTCAATTTGCCAGTCACATTAGTCCTAGTTTTATCCCTGAGAGCTACCCAGAATAAATCTACTATAAGAACCAGCAGGTGGCATAATGATTACATTGCTGAAACTCCATATTTTGGACCATAGTTCAAGTCCTAGACATGGCAACTTAAAACTCATGCTAGACATGTGTGTGTACGTGCCCAAAATCCCAAGAGGAGAATGGAGGAGAAGGGATTGCAGTATGGCCATCCCCCCTAGGGGGTGATTTCTCATTTTCTGTCTCTGTCTCTCCAGCAAGTGCATGTACCCTATAGCAAAAATCTCTGTTAAATCAATCATTCAATCAATCCATCAATCTACTCTGTACTTCATTTGATAAAATATTGCTAATGGGGCTGGGGACTGGAATGTATGTCACCCAAGGGTGATTGCAGTTTAAGCCTATTGTGCCATTTCCAACTAGGGCTGACTAGAACTTAGACTATAGTTTAGATGTTTCAGTTGCTTTAATTGCACTGACACTGAAGCTTTGTATTTATAAATATTCCAGTTCTGAGAGGTTTGAGGTTCTTGGAGAACCTTTTAATTAAAGGAGAATTTTCCTGGGCCCAAATACTTGATTTTCTATAGGGTTGGGGAATTCAGTTTTATTTTTTATAATGAATTGTTTCAGTCCCTTGGCCATAATTGTCATAGTAAGCACTTAGTAATGGTCTCATTAATCACCATCCGCATTACTACCTTTTATATAAAATGAAAGAGGCTTGAAGGGACCTAGGATGTGAATTTCCACCTATGCTTCTGACCACTAAAACCTTTCATTCCCTAATTGCCAGGGAATTCTAGAATAAGTAGGGTATAGTAGGTCATATTAAAGGGTGAATTTTATTCTGAGAAAGATGGGAAGTTATTAAGAGTGTTTTGAGCAGAGGGGCTTAATTAGGGGCCCTGGACTCCCACATGGCCGACTGCGGTTTGAGGCCCAGACCTGGTGGCTTGCTTTCTCACTTTCTCTCTCTCTCTCTCTCTCTCTCTCTCTCTCTCTGTCCTTCTCTAGCCAAATTGGAATAAATAACAAAGTTAAATGAAATAATTTTTTAAAAAGAACCTTTAAATAAGTGTTTTGAGCAGAGAATGACATGACAAAACTTACATTTTGGAGTAATTACTGGCTGTTATGTCAGGGACAGAAGCTAAAGATGAGAATTTGCAGGACTATTAGAGTAGTTCAAGGGTAGATGGTGATGGTTTAGACTAGTATAGCAGTGAGGGTGGTGGGAAGGAGTCAGATTCTGAATATGTCCTTAGGTAGAGCCTGTAAGATTTACTGATGGAGGGCTGGCAGGTGACATGGTGGTTAAAGGTGCTAGACTCCCACATGACTGGCTACAGTTTGAGCCAAGGACCTGGTGGCTTGCTTTCTCACTTTCTCTCTCTGTGTCTCTCTGTGGTCAAATTGAAAAACAACAACAATAATAATAATAAATGATTATTTTTTAAAAAAGAGATTGATGGATTGGATGTGAAGTGTGAGAGAAAGAAGAGTGTCAAAGATGACCCAAGTTTTGGCTTGAATAGCTGGCAGAAAGGAGATAACATTTATTTGACATGGTATTAAATTGTGTTCCTAACAGAAATAACTGAGACTGGCTAACTTATGAAGTACAAAGGAGTAGGGCTTGGGTATCAGGCCTTGTACATCATAGCAAGTGCTTACAAAGAAAGAGAGCTGAGTACAGTCATCTTCCTTCTGTAACAACCTACTCTCAAGGGAACTCCTTCTCAATGAGAGCTCAGCAAGAACTCACTCGATTTCAGGCCAGCCACATTGCCTAGTGGCTAAGGGTCTTAGCCCCAGCAGCTTGGAAAACACGCCAGCCGTTTGTGCATTCTCCAAATCCTAACCAGATGAAGAAGGGATCACAATATGACCAGGTTCCATGCCCCATCGCAGCATGAATACCAGAGCATGCGCTGGTTTGAAAAGAAAAAATAACTCAGTCTCAAGAGAGAGCACTAATCAGTTCATTAGAGCAGTGCCTTCAAGGTCCAATTACCACCCACCAGGCTTTACCTCTTAAAGGTCTGATGACCACTCAAGCCATTACACTTGGCTACTAGATTCCAAAACAGGAATGTTTGAGAGGCAGACCATTATTTAGTCCATAGCAATGTAAGTGAATTTTCACATTGGTTTTTGTAATTTATAATCTAGAGTAGAATATTTATTCCCGATTCCTGAAGTTTAAAAAAAAAAAAATAGTTATTCTATCAATACTTTCCATGAACATTTAAATTATATTTCTTTCTGAAGAGCCAGTGTATTTGAGATTCATTTTGCTACATGGGGATGTTGTGTTTTTAGGAAAGGATTAGTGTTGTTTTGTTTTGTTTTGTTGTTTTTAATTTGCCAGAGGGCACATACCCTCACTAGAGAAAGAGGGAGAGGAAAGAAAGCACCTCAGGAAAATGATCATGACACAGTCTGGTCTCCATTTCACCATCCTGTCAGGATTTTCAGCACATATGCACACGGGCCCAGTATTTTTCAAACTGCCAGGTCCAAGATTCAAAACGTATTATTGGCCATGTGCAATCTGGCTCTCTTAACCATTGGGCCATGGGGCTGACCAGGAAATGATTAATTTAAAACACAACAATAATTCCACAAAATGAGAAGCCTAAAAATTAGTCTTAAATATTTGAAGTTTAAATGTTTGTTGCTTTGGGAACCAGCAGTTAGCGTAATGGCTATGTCGCTGGACTCCCACATAGTCGACCGCAGTTCGCGTCCCGGACCCGGGGACTTAAAATTTACGCCGGGCGCATGTGCATGTGTGCCCAAGATCCCAAGAGGAGAATGGAGGAGAAGGGATTGCGGCGTGACCATCCCTCCTGGGGGGTGATTTCTCACTTTCTGTCTCTATGTCTCTGTCTGTCTGGTGAGCGCACGCACCCTATAGCGAAAATCTCTCCAAAAAAAAAAAGTTTGTTGCTTTGATTTCTCTTGAAAAGCCTAGGGAAAAAAAAAATTTAATGTCCACTTGAGACTTTAGTGTTTTAGTAGATATTTTAGTAGGTTGAAATTGGGTTGTGTGATGCTAATGCCATGTGGGAAGGCCTGTGTGCAGGCTGACCTGGGTGTTCCCATATAGCTCCAGTATCTCACTGCAGTATCCCACTACTTGTACGCCCAAGGTTGGGCACTGACTTTTGATTATGGTTTTTTCACCTTGTCCTGCCTCAGAGGACTGAGGATATAAAAGACATGTTTTTAAAAGTGTGTATCAATTGAAGATTCTTTTGAATTACTGAAAACTTTTGCCTAAGTGATTAAAACTGTTCACGATTCACAATGATCACATTGCTTAAAGTTTTTTTTTTTTTTGAGAGATTTTCACTGTAGGGCGCGTGCGCTCGCCAGACAGACAGACAGAGACATAGAGACAGAAAGCGAGAAATCACCCCCCAGGGGGGATGGTCACGCCGCAATCCCTTCTCCTCCATTCTCCTCTCGGGATCTTGGGCACGCATGCACACGCACCCGGCGTGAGTTTTAAGCCACCGGGTCCGGGACACGAACCGCGGTCGACTACGTGGGAATCCAGCGACATAGCCATTACGCTAACTGCTGGTTCCCGCTTAAAGTTTTGAAATTTTCTAAGTAGGAGCTCTTTTGGAGCTTATGAGTGAAAAGGAAAAAAAGTAATTTCAGAACTTGAGGTGCTTCTGAGATCTCTGGAAAGGAATCCTTGCAGAAAGCTGGAAGGCATGTTGTTAACCCTGGATATCTGGAGAGAAAGGGGGAAAAGCACCAGGTGGAAGTTTTACATTTCCTTTCACTGTTCTGTGAAATATCTTTTCTATTTATTTACACATGTTCTCTTCCTCTCTCCCCCTTCTCAAACTTTTTTAAAAAAACAGTGCATTTGCCCAGTATAACATGGATCAGTTCACACCTGTGAAGATAGAAGGCTACGAAGATCAGGTAATAATGGCTAGTTTGATAGGCTGTGCGTAGTAGTTGAAAGCCTAAAAACCAGTCAGATACTGAATAAATTCATATCTTAGTTTTCATAGTTTTCTGTAAACAATAGAATATTCTTTCTCTCTCTGATAACACTAGGAGTTTCATTGTCAATAAAAGGGAATTGCCCTCTCAAAAACAGTAAAAGAAGTTAAGTCTTGACAATAAAAGCATTGAATCTTAACAAGTTTTCTGCTGTCTCTAATTCTCCTTGTTAGGAATGACAGAAGCCATTATATTTCATAGGAAAATAGGCCATTCCTATTGAAATTTAGACTCTTTTGATTTAGACTTCTTATAACTATAAAACATGTTAAAAAATACAAAAGTATATTAGGTTATAGCTCTGAATAAAGTTTATACAGAGACTATATTAGACAGAAACCAAGAAAGAAAGGGTATTAGGATGGGGAAAGTTCACAGCTTAAGGTTGACTTAGTTATATGTATAATATTTCCTGTAAGAATTGAATGGACTTCACTGAAAAATCAGTATGTAAAAGAAACCTAAATGAAAGATTAACTGTCTCAGAATCTTCATTAATTTATTTGTTTTGCAAATTCTGATAAAACAACTGCCCTTTTTACAGCTAATCATATTTGTAATTATTCTTTGGAAGGTCTTAATTACAGAGCATGGTGACCTGGGTAATAGCAGATTTTTAGATCCAAGAAACAAAATTTCCTTTAAATTTGATCACTTATGGAAAGAAGCAAGTGACCCCCAGCCAGAGGAAGTAGATGGCGGTCTGAAATCATGGAGAGAGTCCTGTGACAGTGCTTTACGAGCCTATGTGAAAGATCATTATTCCAACGGCTTCTGTACTGTTAAGTATCTGCTTGCTTTATTATCCCAATGTGTTTTGCTTTTTACGTTTTCCTTGTCTTTTGAGTGCTTTAACCTGCCAGACATCACTTCTTTCTTTGTAGTTATGGTATCCTCTACATTTTCTTCCCTAAATTGTTCAAAAGGGTATAAATAAGTAGATTTTTTAAAGAGAAATTCTTGCTTATAGGGTGCAAGCATGTGCTATCTCAAGAGACAGAGAGATAGAAAACTAGAAATTACCGCACCCCCACCCTACCCCCCACCCCAGGGATGACCACACTGCATATCCTTCTCCATTCTTCTCTCGGAATCTTGGGAATGCATGCACACAAGCCGAGTGTGAGTTTTAAGCTGGGTCTGGGACTCAGACTGCTGTCGACTATGTGGGAGTCCAATGATGTAATTGTCATGCCATCTACTGGTCCCAATAAGTAGAAATTTTAATATAGAAATTTCCTATTTAGGGGCCACCAGGTGGCTTGATGGTTAACTCCCACATGGTTGACCCCAGTTCAAGTCCAGGACCTAACGGCTTGCTTTCTTACTTTCTCTCTTTCTCTATCTCTCTCTCCCCGCTTCTCCTTCTCTGGTCAAATTAAAATAAATAAATAAATAAAGTTAAATAATTTTTTTTTAAGAACATTGCTTTTTAAAATTCTAGTGCATGAAAATTTTGTTTCTCGATGTATTCTATTTCACATTCATCTAATTAACTCAGAAATTGCCTTACATCCATTAGAATAAGATTGAGTTTTTTTTCTTTATCATTTTCCATTTTTTTCCCCTTTTCTTGGAGAAATTTTTGCTGTAGGGTGTATGCACTTGCCAGAGAGAGAGAAAGAGAAAATCACACCCCCAGGGGGGATGGCCATGCCACAATCCCTTCCCTATTCTCCTCTCAGGATTTTGGGTATGCATGCACATGTGCCCAGCATGAGTTTTAAGCCACCCAGACTTTAATTGCAGTAGACTACGTGGGAGTCCAGCAATATAACCACCACACCATCTGCTGGTCCCTCAGAATAAGTTTTGAAAGGTTTTTAGCTGAAACATGGGGGAAAATGGTAAATTAAGATTTACCTATATTTGGTTTTACCTGTATCACCCACATTTATGACTTTTTGGCATAGGGATTTTTTGTTTTGTTTTGTTTTTGCCAGAGGGTATGGCCTTTTGCCAGGGCATGAGGGAGAAAGTATCCCTGAATGGGATGCGGTCACACCACAATTCCTTCTGTTTCTCCACCCAGTTGGAATGTGGAGTATACATATACACATGCCTAGCCTGTTTCTCAAACCATCAGGTCAGAACTCAAGTCGGGTGCTATAGTGGTTAAGGTGCTAGACTCTCACATGGCTAACTACAGTTCAAGTCCCGGACCTGCAGTTTGCTTTCTCACTTTCCCTCTCTGTCTCTGTCTCTCTCTGGTCAAATTTAATAATGATGATGATGATAAGTAAAATTAAAATAAAAATCAAATTTGCTTTAGTTGTATCTTATTATTTACAAATAAACATAGATGTGTATAAAGTTCATGCACATGCTCTCTCACATGCACGTGTGCACGCGCACACACACACATCTGTTTTGGGCCAGCGGGTGGTGTGGTAGTTAAGGTGATGGATCCCACATGACTGACTCCTCAGTTCAAGTCCCAGACCCAGTGGCTTAAATAATACACTGAGTGTGTGCACATACCCAAAATCCCTAAAGGAGAATGGAGAAGGGATTGTAGCATGGTCTTCCCTCCTGGGGATGACCCCACTTTCCCTCTCTCTCTGTCTGTCTCCAGCAAGCATACATGCCCTATGGCAAAAATCTTAAAGGAAAAAAAAAGAAAAACACATTTTGTGGACTGTAAAGTACTGTTTGTTTTCTTTGCTTTCCCTTGGTGATGTCATTCTATTCACCTCTCCCACACTAAGTTGATGTTCCTAGTACTACTACCTAGACATCTCTGTCTAGATTTCCATGTTTGTTAATCCCACCATCTTTCTAATCATCCAGTATGACTAAGGCACCTTCTTTCCTTTGCTTTGTATTTGTAATATACTCTAGACTTCGCTATGCTTATGTATTCTGTAAGTGACCCCCCTTCTTTTTGGTCCCATTATTGCCACCCTTATGTGGCCTCCTAACCAACCTCCAACTTTCTTAAATTTCATTTTATACTGTATATCAATATTGCTTGTTCTCCCAGGATAGTAGTTTTAGTCTTGTTGTTTTGCTGTCTCTCCATTGCCTGTTGAAGGAAATCTTAAACTCTCTCCTTATAGGTACTAACATGACCTAAGTCTTCCATGCTGTCCTGTCTCTTCTCTGGTCTACTTTGCCCATACCCTCTAACCTGACGGAACTAATATTTACTGAATGAGCCCTCAGTATCCTGCTTAAGCTGTTTTCCTCATCCTTATTCTCAGTCTCAGGATATCAGAATCTCATGTTTTAGGCTGGGTTGGTGGTACAGTAATGAAACCCTACTCAAGCTGGATCCATATGGGAAATCACAGCTTCAGTTGTCTGGCTGACCTGTACACACTGAGTGTGCACACTCACTTTCTTGGCTGGCTGGGGAGGCTGAGGAGGCTCATGGTGTGAGACCCAATTAAGAGTCCTTGTCCCTTCTCTCTCTCCCTCTCTGTCTCTATCTCATGGAAGAAATAAACTTAAGAAAAAAATAGAATCTTCTGTCTTGTAAGACAGCCTACATGGCACTTGTATTTCCCTCTGTACCACTGTCTCTGTTAGAACCTAACACATTCAGCTTTGTGTTCATATCCCATGAATGCTATTATGCATAATCTATGTGATTGTCTTCTCTAAGAATTTAGAACACTGCTTTTGTACAGAGTAATTTATATTAAATATGTTGTTTGGAGTCTAACTTTTTTTCCCCCCCAACAATAGGTTTATGCTAAAACTATAGATGGACAACAGACCATTATTGCCTGTATTGAAAGCCACCAATTTCAGCCTAAAAACTTCTGGTAAGAAAATAGATGTTCTCTTCTATTTTGTATCTAATTTATTTTGGAAAGAAACTAGTTCAGACTTGGTTGCTTTGTTGTTTGTTTCTCATTTTTGTTTGCTGTAGGGTGTGTGTACTTGCTGCAAATAGATAGGGAGGGAAAGTGAGAAAGCATCCCCCGGAGGATGGCCACAGCAGGATCCTTTCTTCATTCTTCTCTAGGAGTTTTGGGCATATGTGCACACATGCCAGGAGTGTTTTTCAAGCTGCTTTGTCTGGGACTCAAACAGAGCAATCGGCCATGTGGAATTTAGCCACCTTAACCTCCATGCCACCAGCTGGCCCAGGACTTAGGGTTTTATTGTTTGGGGGTGCTTTTTGTTTTTGTTTTTTTTTTTTTTAGTGATAGGACATGTGTGCTCACCAGAAAGAGAAAGTGAGAAATCATTCCCCAGTGAGGATAGCCACGCTGCAGTCCCTTGTCTAGTCTCTTGTTGGGATTTGGGGCACACTTGCACATGCACCCAGTGTTTCGTTTTGTTTTGTTTTGTTTTGTTTTGCTATAGGGCGCGTGCGCTCGCTAGACAGACAGAGAGAGACAGAGACAGAAAGTGAGAAATCACCCCCCCCCCAGGGGGGATGGCCACGCTGCAATCCCTTCTCCTCCATTCTCCTCTTGGGATCTTGGGCACGCACGCACGCACGCACGCACGCACACGCGCCCGGCATGAGTTTTAAGCCACCGGGTCTGGGACGCGAACCGCAGTCGACTACATGGGAGTCCAGCGACATAGCCATTACGCTAACTGCTGTCCCCCTCCCCCATGTGATTTTCAAACCACCAATTCAGGACTTGAATCCATGCAGCAGGCAATATGGGATCCAGTGCCTTAACCTCCATGCCACCTAGCCACCTACTGGCCCCGGTACTTTTTTTTTTTTTTTTAAGAATTTTTTACATTATTTATTACTATTATTATTTTTAAAATTTTTTATAGGGCACGTGCACTTAGAGCGAGAAAGTGAGAAAAAGCAAGATATCAGGTCAGGGATTCAAACCACTGACAGCCTTGTGGGAATCTGGTGCCTTAACCATCACACCACCTGCTGGCCAAGGGACTTAGTTTTTTATCATAACTAGTGTGGAATAAATTACCTGACTTAGAGATTTCTGTTCTCCATCTATAAAATGAGGGATTTAACCATTATTTAGATTCATTCAAAATCTTTTTTTAATGAAGTGTCCAGTTGAAAGAGTTTTACCTTGGTCGGGGTTAATAAGTAATTGCATAACACAATAGCTTATCCATCTTTTCTGAAGACCCTCCCATGAACAGAATAGGTATGGTGTTTTTCTTCCTTTGAATTTAAAAAAAAAAAAAGGAAAATCAGAATAACTTCAATCCATTGAATCCAAAACTTGTATTTGAGTAGACAGGATAACTTACACCAGTTGAATCCAAACTTACATTTGAGTAGACAGCTTTTGAGTTTGTCAAACTGGAAATTTCTTTTTTTCCCTCTTTCCCAACTTCTCTACCTCAATAGCAGATTACCTCTTCCTTGTGCAGTTTGCTAATTCTTCAGTGTTTGTGTGTGTTTTAATAGGAATGGTCGCTGGAGATCAGAGTGGAAGTTCACCATCACACCACCTACAGCCCAGGTGGTTGGAGTGCTTAAGATTCAGGTGAGATTCCAATATGTTTATAGACCATGGTTAAAATCTCACATTTTTAAAATAAACATGCACATTTGTATTTATTCCAGTATTCCAATATTAGAAATAAGGACTAGCTAGCTATGTGTAGATTCAAAGGGAAATAGATTGTAATAGAGAGAAACAGACACCTCCTTCCTAGGAAAGCAATTAAAAGCTATTCTGGGTTAATAAAAGATAGTCATACAGAGAATACTGCTTGCTAGTTATTTTTTCCTTTCAAAGATAATATAAGATCTTTCTAGATATTATTAAACAAAATATATATGAAACATATAAGATGTATGTATTTTAAAGTTCATTATTATTAGGTCATCAGAAAGTCATGATGCATTTTTACATAGAAAAATATGATATGACTTTTTCAACCACCCAGTGTTTCTTAGTTTTATTATGGGGCGTGCTTGCTCACCAGAGAGAGAAAAGTGAGAAATCACCCTTCGGCGGGGAATAGTCACGACACGGTCCCTTCTTTTCATTCTCCTCTCAGGAATTTGGGCACACACAAGGGCGCCTCAGGTGTTTTTCAAGCTGCCAAGTCTGGGACTCAAACTGCAGAGTGGGATCTACCACCTTAACCACCACACCACTTGATGGCCTTCAGAATATATTTTTAATGCTGGTGTCAGATGGACAGCTGAATAAGATAGCTATTGAAACTAATTTGATGCCTGTCTGGATTAAAGTCTTCTAATACGCTAAGAGATTTTACTTCCTTCATGGTAATTTAATTTATAAGCCTGACTAATTCTAAGGTCATATTAAACAGTTATTGATAAGTGAGAAAATTATTACCTAATTTTACCTATCTTATATCATCAGTCTTTTTTATTTTATTTTATTTTATTTTATTTACAGGTTTTTGCTACAGGGTGCATGCACTCGCCAGAAAAAAAGAGACAGAAAGTGAGAATGGCCACACCGCAATCCCTTCTCCTCCATTCTTCTCTCAGGATCTTAGGCACACATGCACACGCTCCCGGCATGAGTTTAAGCCACCAGGTCTGGGACTCAAACTGTGGTCGGCTACATGGGAGTCCAGCGACATAGCCATTACGCTAACTGCTGGTCCCTTTCATCAGTCTTAACTGTAATAGTAATTAGCAAGAGCTGACTTTTTAAAATAGTATATAATTTAATCAAAAGCATGTGTAGGGGTGCTGCCTGCACCCATTCTTATATCTATAGCTTCTTGATACAAGCAGATCCTGACCACAGGAGCATGTCTGGCTTAGGTAAGACAGGCCTGAAATGTTACTTTCACAACTCTGGGAGTAGCCCCCATTTTTCGACAGAAGAATCAGTTGATAAATATCACCACTTAAGTGGACAACTCTCAAGCATGTTCTACTCAGTCTTCAGAGCCTGTTGCCCACAGCTGGAAGCTGCTTGTTAATGCACCTGTAACATTTCCTAACCTTCTCTGCCTCCTTTCTTCAGTCTCTTACTCTAGTGCTTCCTGAATTGACCTCAAATTTTTATCTCAGAGTGCTTCTGAGAGAGCTCAGCTTAATACAGTTTAAACAGTGTTCTGTTTCTATTCACCTGGCTATTCTAGCCTGGTGTCACAGACCTCTTATAATTGATATCAGCACTAACCTGACAGCTTACTATAAATTCGTGGAAGTAAATTGATTTCCCTTCTGTCAGTAGGTGGAAATAGTTGTTTGTATGTCAGTTTTGTCAGTGCAAACTTAAAAGTAAGAGCTAATATCACAAAGGGTGATCGTTTCTGAGAAGACTTTTATAATATGACCTGATGTGGAGAACCAGCAGTTAGCGTAATGGCTATGTTGCTGAACTCCCACGTAGTTGACCGCGGTTCACGTCCCGGACCTGGTGGCTTAAAACTCACATCGGGCGCATGTGCATGCGTGCCCAAGATCCCGAGAGGAGAATGGAGGAGAAGGGATTGTGGTGTGACCATCCCCCCTGGGGGCTGATTTCTCGCTTTCTGTCTCTATGTCTCTCTCTGTCTGTCTGGCCAGCGCACGCGCCCTATAGCGAATATGACCTGATGTGCAGACCTTCATTTATACCTTTTTTTTTTTTTTTTTTTTAAGTTTGCCAGACAGCCCATGCACTTGCTGGGGAGAGAGAGAAAGAGAAAGTGAGAAAGTACACATACACACACACCCTGCCCCCTTTCAAAGGAGGATGGTCACACAGCAGTCTCTTCTCCATTGTTCTTTCTCTTCAGGATTTTAGGTAAGCACTCCTCTGGCTGGTTTTTAAGTCGCTGGGTCTGGGACTCAAACTGCAAACTGACCACGTGGGATCCAGCAGCTTTACCTACTATGCCATTGGCCTGCCCCATTTATACCTTTTCGGGCTTATTGTTTGGCAACACTTTGGGAGAAGGTTTACTTCATTATATGTCTTTTAAAAATTAGACTAAGAATGATTTGGATAAGTCATTAAGATATTTAGCCTTGGGGGACCAGCAGATGACATAATGGCTACATTGCTGGACTCCCACAGTAGACCAGTTTGAGTCCCAGACCCAGTGGCTTAAACTTTACACCAGGCATGTGTGCGTGCATGCTCAAGATTCCAAGAGGAGAATGGTGAAGTGATTGTGGCATGGCCATTCCCCATGGGGCATGATTTCTCACTTTCTGTCTCTCTGTATCTCAGGTGAGCACATGCACCCTATAGCAAAAATCTCTTTTAAAAAAAAAAAAGATATTTAGCCTTGGGCCAGCAGGTGGCGTGGTAGTGGTAGTTAAGGTGCTGGACTACTGTAATTCCCAGACCCAGCAGCTTGAAAATCATGCTGGGCATGTGTGCATACATGCCCAAAATCCTAAGAGGAGAATGAAGGAGAACGAATTGCAGTGTGGCCATCTCCCTTCAGGGGTGATTTCTCGCTTTCCCTCTCTCTTTCCTATAGCAAACCTTTGAAAAAAAGAAAAGGAAAGAAAAAGGGGGCCAGCAGGTGGTGTGGTGGTTAAGGTGCTGGACACTCCCACAAGGCTGAGTACAGTTCAGGTCCTAGACCTGGTGGCTTGCTTTCCCACTCCTTCTCTTCCCCCCACATCTTTCTTTGGTCAAATTAAAATAAATGAATTAATAAATTAAATCTTAAAAAAAAAAATGTTGGGCACGTATATGTGTACACAGGATCCTAACAAGATGGAGATTTGGAGAAAAAAGGATTGCAACATGACCAAGCCTTGTTGAAAGGTCTTCTCTCCTCTCTTCCTCTCTCTCCCTCTTCCCCTCCCTCTCTTTCTCTTTCTCTCTCTCATACACACATCTTCTGGCATAAAATTTTTTTTTGCACCAAAATAAATTTATACTTTTTTTAAGAGAGTTTTGATATAAGGTGCATGCACTTGCCAGAGAGACAGAAAGTGAGAAATTACCCCCCAGGAGTCCCTTCTCCTCCATTCTCCTCTCTCCCGGACTTAAACCACAGTTTTAAGCAGTGGGAGTCCAGTGATATAACCATTATGCGATCTGCTTGTCCCAATAAATGTTCACTTGAATTCATTTGTCTGTGAACTATTTGTAAGTCCTACTGTACAGTCAAAAAGATAGTTCTGGTAAGGCAATAATTTCTGAGGATTTGTGTTGGATCATGGTCACACCGAAATTTGTTTTGTTAACTCAAATATTTTTATATTAGAGATGAGACCTACAAAAGGTTTTGTTAAGGTAGAGTTAAGCTTAATTTCAGGTAGAGTTAAGCTTAATTTCTAAAAATTAATATATCATTAGTTTATTAGATAATGAAATTTATATTTTTAGAATTTTTAATTCATAAACAGTGAGACTCATTGGCCTTACCCTATATTCCTATCCATGTCCTAGTTATTGAGTAACATGACAGAAGTTCAGACCAATTGCATAATCTTTATTCTTGGACAAAAAAAGGATTTGCTCTGTATACCTCTTTCTTCAGGTGGGTTCTGTGAAATATATACATTTTTTGTTCCTTCTCTAGCCAGATTTCTATTTTTTAACATCCCCGATCCTATTTGTACTTGTTTTTCTTTCTGTTATTCTTTTTAGCCCCATCAACTTACAGGTTTTTGTTTGTTTGTTTCTTTTTTTTTTTTTTTTTTTTAGTTGAAAAACAATCAAATAAAACTAGTGTTTGGGCGTGACACCTCTATTTTGAGTATCTTTGTCCTCACTATTTAGCCTGGTCTGTTTTGCTATACCTTTGCTATTCTGATTTTTGCTTGTAAGTACAAGGATTATATAAATTCATGGAAAATTTGTATTATGAAAAAGATTTTTGTTGACAACCAAATATCTTTCACCAAAATAAACTTGTACTTTAATTCCATTTCTCAATAAATTTTCTGAAGCCCCCTTGTATTATACGTGTTTTGTCATCTCCCTGTTTTCCAGTGTTCGTTTTTTTGCATTGGCAGGCTCATTCTTTTGTTTGTACCTTTTTTAGGTTATTGCCATAGGGTGCATACACTTGACAGAGATAGAGAGAGGGAAAGTGAGAAATTACATACCCCGCACCCCCCGGATGACCATGCCGCAGTCCCTTATCCATTAAGGATTTTGGGCATACCTGCACACACACCCCGTGTGATTTTCAAGCCACTGTTCCAGGCCTCAAACTATGGTTAGTCATGTGGGAATCCAGTGTCTTAACCACCATACCATCTGCTAGCCCTTCCAGTGTATTCTTTTTTTCCAGTGTATTCTCTTTTTTTTTTTTTTTTAGAATTATTTTAAGGGCCAGCAGGTGGTGTGGCAGTTAAAGACACCAGACTCCCACATGGCTGACCACGGTTCACATCCTGGACCTGGCGGCTTGCTTTCTCACTTTCCCTCTCTCTCTTTCTCTGTCTCTCTCTGATCAAATTGGAAAATAATGATAATAATAAATAAAGTTAAATAAAAAATAATTCTAAAAAAAATAAAGATTTTATTTAACTTATTTAATTAATGTATTTATTTATTTAGATTTGACGAGAAAGGGACAGAGTTGGGGGGGGAGTGTTGAGAAAGCAAGCTGTAATATCCAGGACTCGAAATGTGGTTGGCCATGTCAGAGTCCAGAACCTTAGGGACCAGCAGTTAGTGTAATGGCTGTGTCGCTGAACTCCCATGTAGTCAACCGTGGTTTGAGTCCCGGACCCGGTGGCTTAAAGTCATGCTGGGCGCGTGTGTGTGCGTGCCCAAGATCCTGAGAGGAGAATGGAGGAGAAGGGATTGCGGTGTGGCCATCCACTCTGGGGGGTGATTTCTTGTTTTCTCTCTCTCTGTCAGTCTCTGTCTGGCGAGTGCACACGCCCTATAGCAAAAACAACCTTAAAAAAAAAAAAAAAAAAAGAGTCCAGCACCTTAACCAACACACCACCTGCTGGCCCCTAAAGAAGACACTTACTTTTGTTCCTTAACAGTATATTGTAGTGGGCTCATATTGTCCAGGGAAGACCTTTTTTTATGAATAGGATCATAGTTTCTACCTAGATGAAGCTTGGCTATTAGTTATCCCTCTCTAATGATAACCTAAAAGAGTAAGCCCATGGAGCCAGCAGGTGGCATGGTGGTTTAAAGGTACTGGATTCCAACATGGCCAACCACAATTCAAGTCCTAGACCTGATGGCTTACGTTGTCACTTTACCTCTCTCTATCTGATCAAATTAGAAAAGAATAGTAATAATAAATAAAGTTAAATAAAATAATTCTTTAAAAAAACAAAAGAGTAAGCCCATAATGAGACACTTTATTTCTGTATAGATCAAGGAATATCTAACTTTTTGAAAAAGCATAGCACAGGGAGATAGTATGCATGTTGGATAAGGTTGGAGCTCTAGAATTTGACCTAATTCACACCTTAGCTCCTCTTCTTAACTAGTTTACATAAACATGAGTAGTTTGGGTTTTTTTGTTGTTGTTTTTGCCAGGGGGTGTGTGCATTTGCCAGAGAGAAAGGGAGAGGTAGAGGAAGAAAGCACCCCCGAATGGGGTGTGGTCATGCCACAATCCCGTCTCCAGTTCTCCATCCTTTTAGAATTTGAGGGTGTGTGTCTGTATGCATTTAGTGTGTTTTTTAAGCCACTAGGGCCAGGATTTAAACCATGTGGTTAGCAGCTCCCTTAACCTCAAGGCCGCAGGTTTACTCTGTGGGTAACTTATTAAACTGTCTCAAGCCTCAAGTTTCCTAGCCGTTAAACAGATATAATAGTAATCTGTATCATGAGCGATTAAATGAGATAATGTAAGTAGTAAGGGTTCTACATAGTGCCTTACACATAAGATATCTTAAATAATTGCTATGGTAGTGAAGGTTACTGCTCCTCTTCTCTTTTTCTACTTTATCTCTAAAAACATACTTTTTGTTCAAATACTTCTGGAATTATAGGCCAGAAGTCTTAGTCTGTCTAAGCTATTATAATAAAATACTCTAGTCTGGGTAGTTTATCAACAACAGAGATTTATTGCTCACATTTCTGGAGGCTAAGAAGTCCAAGAACCAGGTGCCAGCAGATTCACTATCTGGTAAGGGCCTTGTTACATACAGATAGTGCCTTGTTGCTGCATCCTCATTTGCAGAAGGTATAAAACTCTTTGTCCTCATAAGGCTTAAGTTGGGGGAGGGTGGAAGAGCTTCCTCAAGCCTCTTTTATAAAGGTACTAACTTCAAGAGATCCCACCTCTTAATACTATTACATTGGGTATTAGATTCCAACAGAAGAACTAGGGCCGACACCAACACACCAACATTCAGATCATAGCACTAGATGAAGGAAACAGCATTACCTAGACTAATGTTCTAGTATTACACCCCTCATTTCAGCTCCATTTTGTTTTCCTCATAGATAAAGTATAATTTTGTTGCTGTTGCTGTATGGTGCATGTGCTTACTACAGAGAGAGAGAAAGAGAGACAGGGAAAGTGAGAAATCACCCTCCAAGAGAAATGGCTTACCACAATCCCCTCTTCTGTTCTCCTCTTGGGATTTTGGACACGCGCACACACTTGTCCAGCGTGATTTTCAGGCTGCTGGGTCTAGAACTCAAGCCATGGAATTGGCCATGTGGAATCTAGTTGTCTTAACCTTCATACCACCAGCTGGCCCAAAAAAGTGTAATCTTGAAAACATTCCTAGCTATTTGCTGATAAGTTATAGAGTAATATCTTTGGCTTGACTGACAATGCATAGTATTTGTGCTAGAAAAAGAAATGTACACTGTAAAGATGTGATTAAATGTAAATTAATTAATTAATTTTTAAAAATTCCCTTTTCCTGGTTAATATGGTTTATAAAGTGCTCTGCTTGTCAGTCTGTCACCAACCTCACAGTAATGTCTCCTTTCACACATATTCATATGCACTGTGTTCTTTGCTCTTCTCCAAACTCACCTGTGAACTCCATTCTAGATCTTTTTCATCCCCTTACTAGAAACTTTCTACTTTGCCCACTTAAGTGAAGTTCCTGTTTTCAAGACACTGTAAAAATCCATGAAAATAGATACCCTCGTCCTATTCTGTGTGGCCAGTTTATAGACATGTTAAAGTGATGGACCTTATCTTGTAATTTATCAAAACTTCTTGAGCCTTGTATGTTAGTTATTGTATGTTAGTCTGTTTCTTACACACTCTTCCTTGCTAATTGTTTTCATAATGCAGTACTTCACTTTACATCTTCAAAAGTGCTTTTAGGGCCATCCAGTGGTATTGTGTTTAAAGTGGCTGGATCCCACATGGCCAGCTTCGTGGTTCAAGTCCCAGACTTGGTGGCTTGAAAAACATGCCAGGCATGTGTGGGTGCATGCCCAAAATCTCGAAGGAGAACTGGAGAAAGGTGTGGCCATCTCCCATAGGAGGTGGTTTCTTACATTCTCTCTCTCCTATTCCATTTCCCCATCCGTTTAATCTTATTTTTTGCAGTCAGGTTTTTTTTTTCAGTCTTGTCTTTAACCTTCAATTAAGTTTACTTATTTATTTCTTTAAAAAGAAAGAGGATGGGGGAGACAGAGAAACCCAACAAGGTCTTCATACTATGATCCACCCCAGGTCTCAGCCAGCCCCAGAACATTGGCACACACCCAGTGTGCATGGGAAGGCCACAGAACCTTCCCAAGTGGATCTCGTTGCATTACCACTGTCCACTGTTTGGTCCCTACTTACTGATGTTGGTGATAGTGTGTATGGAGAGATGTGTTGTTAAGATATTAGGATCCATTAAAATGCCTTGGTTTTCACAGAAGAAAACTAATGTTCAGCTATTTTATATTTTTAAAGAATTATTTTATTTATCATCATTATTAATATCTTTTAATTTGCTCACACACGCTCACCAGAGAGAGAGAGAGAGAGAGACCAAGAGAGAGAGAGAGAGAGAGACCAAGCTACCAAGTCTAGGATATGAACCATGGTTGGCCATGTTAGGAGTACAGCACCCCAACCACCACACTTATTTGCTGGCCCCAATGATTTTAACTTAATACTATTAAGAGTAGGGTCTTGGGACGAGCAATTGGCATAATGGCTATGTTGCTCGACTCCCATGTAGTCAACTGCGGTTCGAGTCCTAGACCCAGTGGCTTAACCTCAAGCTGGGTGTGTGTGTGTGTGTGTGTGTGTGTGCATGCACAAGATCCCTAGAGGAGAAGGGATTATGGCATGGCCATCCCCCCCCGGGGATGATTTCTCACTTTCTGTCTCTCTGTCTTTCTATCGAGTGCACGCACCCTATAGCAAAAAAATTTAGCCAAAAAAAAGAGTAGGGTCTTCATGGGGCCAGCAAGTGGCTAAGGCGCCGGACTCCCATGTCCTAGGGAAAATACCTCCACCGCCACCACCACCAAAAAAAAAAAAAAAGAGTAAGATCTTTGTTAAGCTAGCAGGTGGCATGGAAGTTAAGATACTTGGATCTTACATAGCCAACTCCACAGTTCGAGTCGTGGACCCAGAAGCTTGAAAATCATGTTGAGTGCATGTGAATGCTTGCCCCAAATCTTGAGAGAATGGAAAAAAGGGATTGCAGCATGGCCATTCCACCTGGGGGTTGTGATTTCTTCTCACTTCCCTTCTTTCTCTCAGGCAAACACACACACCCACAAAAACTAAAAATAAAACAGTGGGATCCTTTTTTTTTTTTTTTTTGAATTCACAATGCCTAGCATAGTGCCTAGAATGTAATAAACATATAAATGCTGAGCGTAATTTTTTATTTTCTGCTAAGGAAAGAGAATTTAGTGTTCTCTGCATGCCCCCCCCCCTTGTTTTGCCAAAGGGCACATGCACTCACCAAACTGTGAGAAAAAAAAAAGAGAGAGAGAGAAAAGAACCCAAAATGGGGTGTGGTTGTGCCACAACCCTTTTTCCTCCCTTTCCTCCCATTAGGATTTGGGGTATACATGACATGTTTTCTTCAAGTCTGGGATTCAGGCCATGGTCAGTCACATGGGTTCTTGTTCCCTGTGCACTATAGGGAGCGCTAACTGCTGAACTACAGGGCCAGCCCTAGGCATTTTAATTAAGCTTAATTGTGAATTACCATAGATTATAGTTGGTTAAGATGGCTTACTCATTTAAGGATGGCTTAAAGCATGGTTTTGTGCCCTAAGCAATAGATTGCCATATGAACTACACATAAACTTGCTCAAACATCATCTCGTGCAGGTTCACTATTATGAAGATGGCAATGTTCAGCTGGTTAGTCATAAAGATGTACAGGATTCAGTAACTGTTTCGGTGAGTATGGATTTATTTAATGTCTTAATCTCACTTGTGTCTTGTTTTTCTTCTAAAAATTAAGCTCCAAGACTGAGTGCTCATTCTGCCAGTTGCAGTTCCTATTAGCGTCTCTTACTGCCAAGGAGCTATATTAGCTCAGTAGTGCTTGTGGCTTTAGAGAAACTTCTTTCTCCTTCTCTTTTCTCATTTGTAAGATTTGGTCAAGCACCGCCATACCTCCCATCAGTAAACATCAGGAGCAAGGAAAGTTTGCCAAACTAAATCCTATAGCGCTGTTATATTAGAGAAAACTTTTCATCAGAAAGTATTGTTCTTGGGAATCAGCAGTTAGCGTAATGGCTATGTCGCTGGACTCCCACGTAGTCGACCGCGGTTCGCGTCCTGGACCCGGTGGCTTAAAACTCACGCCAGGCGCGTGTGCGTGCGTGCCCAAGATCCCGGGAGGAGAATGGAGGAGAAGGGATTGCGGCGTGACCATCCCCCCTGGGGGGTGATTTCTCGCTTTCTGTCTCTATGTCTCTCTCTGTCTGTCTGGCGAGCACACACGCCCTGTAGTGAAAAAAAAACCTCTTAAAAAAAAAGAAAAAGAAAAGAAAGTATTGTTCTTTACCTTGAAAAAAAGGAACGTGATTTGTTCTTATATACCTTCTTTCATAATTTCATTACTGCCTTACATTCTTAGAAGTTACTGAGTACCCCCAATGAGCTTTTGCTTTTTATTATACATATTGTATCTATAAATATTTACCTTATTAAAAATCAAAATGGAGAAGCATTAAAAATATTTATCCATTTATTTAAAATGTGAATGATTACTAATTAGCATAATTAACTTTATTGAAACATAATATTTTCAAGCACATGAAATTGGAAGGATCCATTAATTTTACATCTGCACAAATTGTGTAATGTCTGGCTTAAAACTCAGCTGGGTTTTCATATCTGCTTTATGTTTTCCACTAGCCCTCAATGTCATGAATTCCTCACATCTTGAAACTTCTAGGAAAGTGCACTGTACAAGCATGAGCAAGTGAGAATAAAACAAGCAAATAACTTTGTCTTAGTAGTATTATGAAAGTAGAATGTAGTTTTGACCTCTTCATAGACTGTCTCGAGACTGCTACTATGGGCATTAACTCTTCCTTTCTTACCTTTAATTCTGTTATATTTAATGGTGAAAGGAAGAGAGCTTCATTTCATTTTGTACCTCAATCATGTAATGCAAAATGTGATTGTCTGGTTTGACATTTTAAGTGGCAAATAATGGAGTATATGAACTCACGTTATGTGACTAATATGTCGGAGAACGTTGTTTAATCATTTTAAACCAGATATATTTCAAGGCACCAAGATTTCAAGACACAATAATGATGTCTTTTGGGCATACTATGGTAGAGTGGAAAATGCATGGGATTTTGGGGGGGCAAAGACCTAGATTCAAATCTCATCTGCAAAATGAAAGTGGTGATAATAACTTAACTGCTTCACAGGGTGGATGTATGAGAATCAAAGGAGATAATGTGCATGGGACTACTTGGTAATGACTGTTACACACATGGAAGTTAAAATGGACTTACTTTTCTGTGTCTATTATTTCTTACATATTTTTAAAAATTCTTATTTTCCTCTCTTCCTCCCTCCATTAGAATGAAGTCCAAACTGCCAAGGAGTTTATTAAAATCATAGAGAATGCAGAAAATGAGTATCAGGTAAAAGATTCAGAACTAATTTTTGTAGATCTTGTACCTTACTGTTTTGCTGTTAACCTCTCTGTGTCCTTTAACGTAAATTATATATGCTGTTCAGTGCTCCTAAGTGTGTAGACTCTGCAGACCTTGCAACTTGACATTTTGCTTACAATCACCATTTTGCTTAACAGTCATGGTTTCAGGATTGGAAGGGGGAATATAAACGGTAGTTTCAGAAATAATATATAGGTGAGCTTCCTGACCCACTTCAGAGATGGGAAAGGAGCTCACTAAAAATTATAATGTCCTGTTTGTCTTTGTTGGGACTCAAGCAAGTCCTTTGACTAGAGTTACTTTTCTAGTCATAACCAATCCCATTTCTGTTCAAGCAACTCATCTTCAATTATCTATTGCAGACGGCAATTAGTGAAAACTATCAAACAATGTCAGATACCACATTCAAGGCATTGCGCCGGCAGCTTCCAGTTACCCGCACCAAAATCGACTGGAACAAGATACTCAGCTACAAGATTGGCAAAGAAATGCAGAATGCTTAAAAGAAGAAAGAAAGAAATGCAGAATGTAAGATTCTTCAATATATGGAAAGAAAAGAATTCAATGCCAACACATGGTCATAAGATAAATAAGTGATTTATAAACAAGAGTGATATTTTGCTAGGGCTTTCAAAGTTAACAGGTTTTCTAGCCTCATGAAATACTGTTGATCCTATAGCATTGTCTTAATTCTTTTGTGTTCTCTGCCTTGTAATTTTCTGTTACCACCATATCTACTTGTAAATCTTTTGTTGTTAATTTTGCTACATTTAACGTTGGAGAGATCGATCGATCCTGGAGTCATTTTACTGTTAAGAAAATTTTCCTAGCCATGAAGTCCTGTTACTGATTGAGACAGGTAATACGCTCCATACTCTTCTCCCCCTATCCTTTAAAGCACTGCTGGTACTCGAATGGTTTTTACTGATCCACCAGTGGCTGAAGAAGCAATGCTGCAGACTACAGCTAAGTGGAAGACAGGGCCATCCTTTTCCCTCCAACTGCCTTGATCATCATTTATAGCATCTCACAGCTGATGTTTTCAACAGTCTGGATTGGAGTTTTCAAGTCCTTGGTGGGACAGAGGGTGTACAAAGGAAGTTGCAAAGGAAGTTTTCTGGTAATTCCATGATAGCCAGCTTCTCTGAGGAACTTGTTTTTAAATCCAAAGACATGAACCACATTCCCTGCACGTTTGCTTTGTTTCCCTTCCCTCACTGTCTCCTCCCACTCTCGTACATTGTAGTTAATAGGCATCTGCATTTTAGAAGAGTTTTACCCATTTATGTTTGTTTTATTTTTAAAATTTTCAAGAACTGCTGACATACTGTGGATGTTGTAGTGCATAAAACTTGAAAAATGCAGATATGGAAGGAATACTAGGTACCTTGTGCTTTAATACTTTGTGGCAGGATGTACTATGAACAGATGAATCAAATAGCTATGTAAATCACAAAAACTAAAAATGAACCAAAGTGAAAGGGTAATTCCCAGGTGTCTTTCTATTGTAACCTGTTATTTAAGGGAATACTAGTGATTTCTTCTAAATAGGATATACAACTTGTTTTCAATTACTCATCCTCAGTCCTGCCTGCCAAGAACTCAAATGTAACTGTGATAAAGCAACCCTTCCCAGGTATATTGGCAGGCCTGTATGGGATCTCTGAATACACAGGTGACATAGAGATGGTATGACAGCTGGTAGTGGTGGATTCATTTACATTGTTTACACTTCTATGGCCAGGCCTTAAGGGTAGGTCAATTTTTTAAAAACCAAGTAGTGTCTTCCTACCTATCTCCAAATACATGTCAAGAAAGAAGAGTGTTGTGCTTCAGCTCTGTTTTTGCTCAGTAATACAGTCAAGCAAAAGTTTGTTTCCAAGTGACCATTGAGCTGTGTAAGCATTTTTGTTTATTTCAAATAAAATATATTTGTATTATTTGTCATTCATACTATCCATCCATACCACACTATCTTCTGTATCAGATAGCCAATAGAAATATACCTGTTTTGTTCTAAAACTGTCTGAGTCTCTCCTTTTTGATGCATCTCTTCAGCCTATGTTCTCAACATAAGCTGTTCAGCTGTATTAGATCTTACTTACTGAGAACATAGAGAACTGAAGTTGAAAATTTTGGGTAATCACTGTTATTGCAGACTCAGTGACTATCCAAGGACTTGCAAAGAACACTTTAAATGAGCAGTACCTCAATAGGCCAAATTGCTCTTCACCCAAGGGCTACCAACAATTCAAAGACTATTGGAGGATTTCCCTCATTCGAAAAGAAAACCTAGTTGTCTTCTCTACCAGTAATTGAGAAAGTATACTCACTAGGCAGGAAGTAGAAATCAAAGATTCCCTGCATCTTGAATTTGGTAATACTCCACATTGACTTCACTCAGTTCTGCTTTCCTCTACTGAGTGGTTTAGCTTTAGACCATATGGGAAAAGGCTCTTATTCTGGTTCCCAACTAAGAACCAGTTGCTGGGCTTCTACCCTCCATCCAAGGCCAGTTCAAATGACCTTTTCTGGGGACCAGCAGGTGGTATGGTGGTTAAAGGTGCTGGATTCCCACATGGCCGACCGTGGTTCAAATCCTGGACCTGGTAGCTTGCTCTCTCTCTCTCTCTCTCTCTGTCCCTGTCTGGTCAAATTGAAATAAATGAATAAATAAAGTTAAATAAAATAATTCTTTAAAAAAAAGGATTAAAAAAATGACCTTTTCTGGAAAGTTTAACAGTACTCTACTTGTTATGCAAAAAGATTCAAACATTCTTCCTTTTAGTCTTAACTCAGTCAGCCTGCCCCCTTCCCCAGACTATCCCATTGATTTTCTTCCCTTTTTTTTGGGGGGGAGGTTTTTTGTTGTTGTTCCTATAGAGCACATGTGCTTCCCAGAAAGACAGAGACAGAAAGCGAGAAGCCATAGTCCCTTCTCCTCTCGGGATCTTGAGCATGCATGCACACAGATACATACCCAGTGTGAGTAAGCCACCAGGTCCAGAACTAGAACTATGGTTGACTACATGGGAGTCCAGTGATGTAGCTATTATGCCATCTGCTGACCTAACCCATTGATTTCTTTAGTCCAGACAGACGTTTTTAAAAACTTAATCTCATGGCTATCTAAAGTCTTTCATTATTTGTATAACTGGAAGCAAGCCTTTGCCCGACCTGCAGAGACCCTAGACTTACTTACCTCTATCTCAGCAGAATAGTTGCTGGAATCGAGTCTGTTGTATTACATGCTGCTGATATAGTATCCTAAGGCAAAGGTTTCCCAGCTAGAAGGGAAGGAGTTTGGTTTTGAAATAACATTGAAGATCCTTTCATCTGAGCTGTCCCTCTGTAGGGTGCCTTGTTCTAAGATAGGGGATAGTGACATTCCCTGAAATGGGGTAAAGGCCCAAGATAGAGTCATAGTCGCTGGACTTTATCAAACCTGACCGCAACATTCTGTAACTTCCCACCATTTAAAATAACTTTTTCAAGGATCCTGGGCGCATGCAATCAACAGGCTCCAGACAAAGAATGCAGATCTTTATTGGCCACTAGACCTGTGGAAAATTGTGTCAATAGATTAGAACTATTATCAGTTAAGAGAACAAAGTATACTGACCTCATGGAGGACAATTTGAGCTATTTTTGAACCCAACTTCCTCAGTAGCTCACCCATTCCTCAGACTGACTACCAGATACAAACCCCTGAAGAAAGCCACACACTGGCAACTCTCTTTTGGGATCCCCTCCCAGTTGGGCACTTTCTTCTCTAATAAGCCCCACTTTGCTTTACCTCCTTTTCCCACACTTTTTGTCCTCATTCAGGATCTGACAAAAGGAAACAATGCAATAGTTCCAGTGCCTGATTGCTGACTTCATAATCAGAACACTGATGCTTAACTTTTCTAGGTTCATGAGATACTTGGCAAACCACTGTCAAATGACAAAATTAAAGATCTTAATCGGCTTTATTTGTGATTCTAGATTCAGGCAACACTTTATTTCATAACATAAAATAAGAGTTCCAATGAACAGAGCAGAGGAGGAATGTATGGATAGAAAGGCTGAAGAATTGTAAAAGAACAAAAAATCAGATTGGCCTTTTCAAAGTTACAATTATTTTGTAAAGCCTGACAGATGACCAATGGGCAGATGACTGATTAATTAACTTCTGGTTTACTTCAAATTACAGTCTTTTGTGTAAGAATTAAAGCAGAGGAAACTTCATTGTCATGCTCATTAAAACTAGCCAGTGTAAGATCCTTGTTGACTCTCATTCCCCTAGAATCTGGGATAGTAAAAGAGGATTTATTGTAGTTTTGGCCAGAACTTGGCATAAGTGACAACATTTTGAGTTTTAGTATGACCTGTTGGGGCATAGTGCTGGAGCTTAGTTAAAACAACAAGCCACCTATAAGTTTTACTTAACACTACCAAATGAAGTTGATCTTTCCCATCGTTAGCCCCGAGCTATGTTGGAAAATCAAAGAAAAATAGGTTAGTAAATATAAAGCAAAACCAGAAGATCCTATAAGTTACAGTAACTTAATCTCTAAAACAAACAGTATATGAGGTGACTTCAGATAGTCACAGAAAGGGACCAGCAGATGGCGGGGTGGTGAGAATGCGGGACTCTCAAAGGCCAAATGCAGTTTTTTGTTCGTTTGGTTTTTGTTTTTTTGGAGAGGTTTTTGCTATAGGGCGCATGCACACGCCAGAAAAACAGACAGAAAGCAAGAAATTCCCCTAGGGAGGATGGCCACACCACAATCCCCTCTCCATTCACCTCTTGAGACCTTGGGCATGCTGGGTTCAGGACTCAAATTCGGTGGACTACATGAGAGTCTAGCGACATAACCGTTATACCAACTCCTGGTCTTTTGGTTTTTTTGGAGAGGTTTTTTTTTGCAGAAAGCGAGAAATCACCCCCCAGGGGGGATGGTCACACCGCAATCCCTTCTCCTCCATTCTCCTCTAGGGATCTTGGGCACGCACGCACACGTGCCTGGCGTGAGTTTTAAGCCACTGGGTCCAGGACGTGAACCGCGGTCGACTACGTGGGAGTCCAGCGATATAGCCATTACGCTAACTGCTGGTTCCCCAAATGCAGTTTTAAGTCCTGGAACTGGCAGCTTACTTTCTCACTTTCCCTCTCTGGTCAAATTTAAAAACTAATAATAAATAAAATTGAAATATTTTTTTAAATCATAAAAAATGGAATTAAAGTACAAGTTTATTTTTTTGGCACAAAAACATTTTAAATCCATGCACAATTCTTTTATAATACACATTTTCTGTGAACTTTTTGAGGGCCCCCTTCCCCTCCCCATATATAAACATGCAGAATATCTGAGGTATCAAAAATCACTTTTACATATAAGGATATACAATTGATTCTTGTTATTTAGCGCAATTACTTCTTTTTAATTTGCCAGAGGGTGTGTGCGCTGGCCTGGAGAGGGGGAGAGGGGAGGAATGAGAAAGCATCCCCATGGGGGATGATCACACCACAATCCTTTTTCTATTTCCTTTCAGGACTTTGGACACACACATACCCATGCACACAAACACCTGGTGTGTTTTTCAGGCCGCTGAGTCTGGGACCTGAACCAAGTGTTTGGTCAAATGAGATTAGCCACCTTCACCACCACGCTATGGGCTGGACTAGTGTAATTATGTTTTATAAAGTCATGCAAATACCGAATTAGTGAAGCTGTAACTCATGCCTAAAAGAAGCTTATCTAACCGGAATTTTTCTCTGTAAAGCCTTGCGCTTAGAACACTAGAAAACACTACTACACAACATATGGGGGCCATTTTGAGCAGTGAAATCACTAGCAAAAAGCATAAAAATAAAAAAACATGCAGCACTGACCACTACAAAAAGGGCTCTTGTTTATAAGGCTGAAACAAGAAGGCAGGGCATCACCATATTCTACTTCAGCAAGGGGGTAAATTTCTAAATACGGAATCACAAAGTGATAAGCCGAACCTGTCAGTCTGTCCTTTGGCCAGTGGTATTCTGACCAATTTCAATATTTCCATTTAAGAGCACTTTTAGTTGCCTTAGGGAGAACAGTCTAGTTGAAATACATAAGATCAGGGAACACTTGAGTGCTTAATTGTAGAACCTAAGTAAATGGATGAGAAGAAAATACAAAGCTTCTAATATTCTGCAAAGTTGTTCATCTTGGCTCTATCTTTACTTCAGTAATGCAGTTGGCCAAAGTTAACCTTCAGATGGCTTCGGTGCTGTTTGGAACTATACTAAAAATCACCCTATTGGACCAACCAATAGGGCGACATAGTGGTTAAAGCAACTGGATCCCACATGGCCAACTATGTGGTTCAAGTCTCAGACCCATTAGCTTAAAAAACTCCCTGAGGGCCAGCAGGTGGTATGGTGGTTAAAGTGCTGGACACTCCCACATGGTCTACCACGGTTTGAGTCCCAGACCTGGTGGCTTGCTTTTTCATTTTCCTTCTCTCTGTCTGTCTTTCTTTGGTCAAATGAAAATGATTGAATGAATAAGTAAAAATAAATTAATAACCACAATCCTTTTTCTATTTCCTTTCAGGACTTTGGACACACACATACCCATGCACACAAACACCTGGTGTGTTTTTCAGGCCGCTGAGTCTGGGACCTGAACCAAGTGTTTGGTCAAATGAGATTAGCCACCTTCACCACCACGCTATGGGCTGGACTAGTGTAATTATGTTTTATAAAGTCATGCAAATACCGAATTAGTGAAGCTGTAACTCATGCCTAAAAGAAGCTTATCTAACCGGAATTTTTCTCTGTAAAGCCTTGCGCTTAGAACACTAGAAAACACTACTACACAACATATGGGGGCCATTTTGAGCAGTGAAATCACTAGCAAAAAGCATAAAAATAAAAAAACATGCAGCACTGACCACTACAAAAAGGGCTCTTGTTTATAAGGCTGAAACAAGAAGGCAGGGCATCACCATATTCTACTTCAGCAAGGGGGTAAATTTCTAAATACGGAATCACAAAGTGATAAGCCGAACCTGTCAGTCTGTCCTTTGGCCAGTGGTATTCTGACCAATTTCAATATTTCCATTTAAGAGCACTTTTAGTTGCCTTAGGGAGAACAGTCTAGTTGAAATACATAAGATCAGGGAACACTTGAGTGCTTAATTGTAGAACCTAAGTAAATGGATGAGAAGAAAATACAAAGCTTCTAATATTCTGCAAAGTTGTTCATCTTGGCTCTATCTTTACTTCAGTAATGCAGTTGGCCAAAGTTAACCTTCAGATGGCTTCGGTGCTGTTTGGAACTATACTAAAAATCACCCTATTGGACCAACCAATAGGGCGACATAGTGGTTAAAGCAACTGGATCCCACATGGCCAACTATGTGGTTCAAGTCTCAGACCCATTAGCTTAAAAAACTCCCTGAGGGCCAGCAGGTGGTATGGTGGTTAAAGTGCTGGACACTCCCACATGGTCTACCACGGTTTGAGTCCCAGACCTGGTGGCTTGCTTTTTCATTTTCCTTCTCTCTGTCTGTCTTTCTTTGGTCAAATGAAAATGATTGAATGAATAAGTAAAAATAAATTAATAATTCTTAAAAAAAGAACACTCCTAGAATGAAAATAGGTATTTCCAATACCCCAGGATGGCCATCCCCTCCCCACAAAGGTGATTACTCACTTTGTCTTTCTCCAGTGAGCACAAACCCTGTGGCAAAAATCTTTGTTAAAAAAATAAAATAAAAAAGGGGGACCAGTAGTTAGCGTAATGGCTATGTCACTGGACTCCCATGTAGTCGACCAGGGTTCGCGTCCTGGACCTGGTGGCTTAAAACTCATACTGAGGGGACCAGCAGGTGGCATGGTGGGTTAAGGTGCTGGACACTCCCACATGGCTGACCAGGGTTCAAGTCCTGAATCTGGTGGCTTGCTTTCTAACTTCCTCTCTCTCTCACTCTCACCCTCTGTCTCTCTCTGGTCAAATTAAAAAATAAATGAATGAATAAATAAAATAAATAATAAATAATTTTTAAAAATTCATACCGGGCGCATGTGCATGTGTGCCCAAGATCCTGAGAGAAGAAGGGAGGGGGGGATTGCGGCGTGGCCATTCTCCTGGGGGGGGTGATTTCTCACTTTCTGTCTCTGTCTGTCTGGCGAGTGCACGTGCCTTATAGAAAAAAAAAAAACTCTCCAAAAAAAGAAAAGAAGCAAAAAAAGGATGTGAAGGGTATAAAGGAAGACATCTAGACATCTAGAATACCATACGTGGAAATAACCACTACAAATTTAAGTGACAGATTTTTCAAGAGTAAATGCTTTGAGAAGTGCAGCTGAAACCAAAGTTACATAGCATCACATTTTTTACCCACGTTTTTATTATAGTACAGTTGTTTGTGTATGTTGAGAACATTCAGGAGATAGGCCTGAGCAGAGAAGGGAGGAGATTATGTGTGCAGGAATATTGGGGATTTGAGATTTGCTAGACAGAGGGGAAATAGATCTTGGTTTAGGTATGGTGGATGGTCGATGGTCGTTTATGTTTTTGTTTTGTGTTTATTTGCTATAGGCCAACTGTGCTTTTGAGGCACTGAGGAAAAGTGTGAAAACACCCCCCAGGGGAGATGAACACTGAGCAATCCCTTCTCCTCCATTCTCTTCTCAGGGATTCCGGGCACCATGCACACAGACCCAGCATGTTTTTTGGCTGCGGGGTCCAGGATTCAAACCAGACAGTCAACCATGTGGGATCCAGCTGCCTTATCCACCACCTTACCACCTGGCTGGTCTGATGGTAGGTTTTTGAGATGGTAACAAAGCAATTTTGAGTTCACCGTTTACTCCTCTGGAGCCTCTCATCAGGAGGAAACTGGTAAAATTTCTGGCTGTGTTCCCAGTTTTCCCCTCTACCTTGCATAATCGATTTCTAAGACAACAGTTCTCCTCTACTTTCCCCATCCCTCTAACTTTGGTTCCCACTCACATGGCCTTTCCAGTTGCTAAAGCCTGTTATTCCTGGCTTTCATGGGTTGTCGTCTAAGGAGAAGGTACAGGGGAACCCAGCTGGAGTGTGACCTCACACTAGGTTAGATTGAGTGTGTAGCCTTCTATGGGAACTTTTGGAGAACAAGTCTAACTTTGATATATTTGAAACTCTGGCATATTTGATTTAAACTTTTAAAAAATATATAATTCATTATTTTGGCCTTAGTGTATTTTAACTTCCTTTTGGAGGATAAACAGAGGCAAAATCTGGTTATGTTTATTTTTGTGGTCTTTAATTGGTCTAAACACTATTTTCAAGCATACTGGTCCTTTCACTTCTCTTCCTGATACTGATGCTGTGGCTATTAACCATCTCTTGCTCTCCAGAGAAGCTAATATTTTGATACAGAAGTAACCCTTACTGGGACCAGCAGTTGGCATAATGGCAATGTCACTGGACTCCCGTGTAGTTCACTGCGGTCCGAGTCCTGGACCCCCTGGCTTAAACTCACGCCGGCCGCGTGTGCGTGCGTGCCCAAGATCACAAGAGGAGAATGGAGAAGGGATTGCGGCTGGACATCCCCCCTGGGGGGTGATTTCTTGGCTTTCTGTGTCTCTGTCTGTCTGGCGAGCGCACGCGCCCTATAGCAAAAACCTCCCCCCACCCCCCCCCAAAAAAAAAGGGAAGCAACCCTCACTTGCATACCAGTAACAATTACATTGAAACACAGACTGGAGTGCGATTAAATGCCCAAATAGTGGCTCAGGGCTCAGGGGTAAGGATGAGTGTGTGGCAGAGTCATGACTGCTGGTCTGGGCACAGCCCCTAGTCCATTTCTCCCACACGTACATACCTTTATCTCAGAGACATTCGGTTCTCTCCCCTAAACTTCTCTTCGCTCCTGTCTGAAAGACGGAGAAGGCAACTTGGGGGAGAGGGTCGTGCCGTCCTCTTCGGTAGTGGTTTCGGTCCCTGGCGGCCTGGGGGAGGTGCTAGGGGAGCTGCCCGGTGCAGCCGCTGTCGCCCCGGGCCCCAGTTCCTGCCCTTTGCACTTGTGTTTTTCACTAAGTCCGGAGGCTCTGGAGAGTGGGCGTGGGAGTAGCCCCAGCTGGGCGAGGCTCTGAGGTCCTCCCGGGCAGTTCAGGGGGCCCCCGGCAGTAGCCACGTTCCGACACTGGCTGGGAGCCAGGGGAGGGAGCTTGGGGTAAGGGGTGGGCCCTGAGGGAGGGGTCAGACTCCTTAGGAAAGAGTTAATGCGAAGAGGGGGAGGGGATAGGACGGAGAGACCGAAGGGAAGGCTCAGGTAGGAAAAGAAGCGAGGAGGGCAGCCTGGTGGGAAGAAGGGAGCCCGCAGGATCGGAGGTCAGAGTTAGGGGACTTCCCCCCAGCTACACCCTCATCGCAGGGCCGCTAACTTCCAGTCGCGGCTGCGACTTTCAGTTTCATTTCCACGGACCTCCTTGCCTGGGCCGCAGTCGCCGCCGCGATGCCCAGTAAGTTCAGCCGCCGGCAGCTCCGGGGGGC